TGCCACAGGTAACGGCAGCCACCTGCCACAGGTAACGGTAACCACCTGCCACAGGTAACGGTAACCACCTGCCACAGGTAACGGTAGCCACCTGCCACAGGTAACGGTAGCCACCTGCCACAGGTAACGGTAGCCACCTGCCACAGGTAACGGTAGCCACCTGCCACAGGTACCGGTAGCCACCTGCCACAGGTAACGGTAGCCACTGCCACAGGTAACGGTAGCCACCTGCCACAGGTAACGGTAGCACCTGCCACAGGTAACGGTAGCCACCTGACACAGGTAACGGTAGCCACCTGCCACAGGTAACGGTAACCACCTGACACAGGTAACGGTAGCCACTGCCACAGGTAACGGTAGCCACCTGCCACCAGGTAACGGTAGCCACCTGCCACAGGTAACGGTAAACCACCTGCCACAGGTAATGGCAGCCACCTGCCACAGGTAACGGTAGCCACCTGTCACAGGTAACGGTAGCCACCTGCCACAGGTAACGGCAGCCACCTGCCACAGGTAACGGCAGCCACCTGCCACAGGTAACGGTAGCCACCTGTCACAGGTAACGGTAGCCACCTGCCACAGGTAACGGTAACCCAACCTGGTCCTGGCAACCACTGTGTCGCAAAGTCTGGTCGACGTTTTGTGCTGCCCATAGATATAGGTTTCAGATCTGAACAAATCATAGCTTTTTATACTAGTACTTTCAGGTCGTTGGGAGTCAGTAATTTCTTTCCTATCAGATCTGAGTGCTTTACTATAAATATGATAAACTCTAGGGAACCTGATTGTCACATTTGACTGATTAGTGATTATCAATCAGAAATTAATCAACTCTGCAGCTCGGTGATTGACAGCTCGTGTGAAAATCCTCAAATATGCGAATAAAGGTGATTTATGTTATAACTTGAGAAGTTATTTTTCCAGAACACACAGTAAGTAAAGTGAGTGTTTCAAGGAACTATTGGTGTTGGGAGAGGGTCACCAACCCGTTCACCTAGTTGTGCTTGCGGGGGTTGAGCTCTGGCTCTTTCGTCCCGCCTCTCAACTGTCAATCAATCAACTGTTACTAACTACTAACTAATTTTTTTCACACACACAAATCACCATTTGGGCCTCGTAGCCTGGTGGATAGCGCGCAGGACTCGTAATTCTGTGGCGCGGGTTCGATTCCCGCACGAGGCAGAAACAAATGGGCAAAGTTTCTTTCACCCTGAATGCCCCAGTTACCTAGCAGTAAAATAGGTACCTGGGTGTTAGTCAGCTGTCACGGGCTGCTTCCTGGGGGTGGAGGCCTGGTCGAGGACCGGGCCGCGGGGACACTAAAGCCCCGAAATCATCTCAAGATAACCTCAAGATAACCAGGAAGCAGCCTGTAACAGCTACTGAGATATCTCACTAGCTATCTTGTGAGGTGAGATATCTCACTAGCTATCGTGAAAGGTGAGAGATATCTCACTAACTATCGTGTGAGGTTGGTTAGTGATATCTCACTAGCTATCGTGTGAGGTGAGAGATATCTCACTAGCTATCGTGAGAAGTGAGAGATACCTCACTAGCTGTCGTGTGAGGTGAGAGATATCTCACTAACTATCGTATGAGGTGAGAGATACCTCACTTGCTATCGTACGAGGTACAGGATATCTAAAGCTACAGTTTACTTACTACTAACAATATAATATAATTTAAGTTATATATACTTAAACGTCAAACTTATTCTCACTACAATATTATTCACTATAGTAATTAGATATTATTTTAGGCAAAATTATTAAATTAGACAATCAGAGTACCCAGAAAACATTACAGGTTCCTGTGTACTTATATATTAATGGAGGTTATCTTGAGATGATTTCGGGGCTTTAGTGTCCCCGCGGCCCGGTCCTCGACCAGGCCTCCACCCCCAGGAAGCAGCCCGTGACAGCTGACTAACACCCAGGTACCTATTTTACTGCTAGGTAACAGGGGCATAGGGTGAAAGAAACTTTGCCCATTTGTTTCTGCCTCGTGCGGGAATCGAACCCGCGCCACAGAATTACGAGTCCTGCGCGCTATCCACCAGGCTACGAGGCCCTAAATACTACCTTCGTAGTATTTGTTTTGTAGTAAATCGTTTAGTAAGTTCGTTTATCTCTAGTATAAAATTTTATATATAAGGGAGTGATTTATTTTGATACACCTTACCCTTCTCTCCCGTTTTTCAGTATCTGGTACTTCAGTACTTGGTACTTCAGTACCTGGTACTTCAGTACCTGGTACTTCAGTATCTGGTACTTCAGTACCTGGTACTTCAGTACCTGGTACTTCAGTACTTGGTACTTCAGTACCTGGTACTTCAGTACCTGGTACTTCAGTACTTGGTACTTCAGTACCTGGTACTTCAGTACCTGGTACTTCAGTACTTGGTACTTCAGTACCTGGTACTTCAGTACCTGGTATCAGTACTTGGTACTTCAGTACCAGGTACTTCAGTACCTGGTACTTCAGTACCTGGTACTTCAGTACTTGGTACTTCAGTACCTGGTACTTCAGTACTGGTACTTCAGTATCTGGTACTTCAGTACCTGGTACTTCAGTACTTGGTACTTCAGTACCTGGTACTTCAGTACCTGGTACTTCAGTATCTGGTACTTCAGTACTTGGTACTTCAGTACCTGGTACTTCAGTATCTGGTACTTCAGTACCTGGTACTTCAGTACTTGGTACTTCAGTACCTGGTACTTCAGTACCTGGTACTTCAGTATCTGGTACTTCAGTACCTGGTACTTCAGTACCTGGTACTTCAGTATCTGGTACTTCAGTATCTGGTACTTCAGTACCTGGTACTTCAGTACTTGGTACTTCAGTACCTGGTACTGCAGTACTTGGTACTTCAGTACTTGGTACTTCAGTACCTGGTACTTCAGTACTTGGTACTTCAGTACCTGGTACTTCAGTACCTGGTACTTCAGTATCTGGTACTTCAGTACCTGGTACTTCAGTACTTGGTACTTCAGTATCTGGTACTTCAGTATCTGGTACTTCAGTACCTGGTACTTCAGTACCTGGTACTTCAGTATTTGGTACTTCAGTACCTGGTACTTCAGTATCTGGTACTTCAGTATCTGGTACTTCAGTATCTGGTACTTCAGTACTTGGTACTTCAGTACCTGGTACTTCAGTATCTGGTACTTCAGTATCTGGTACTTCAGTACCTGGTACTTCAGTACCTGGTACTTCAGTACCTGGTACTTCAGTACCTGGTACTTCAGTACCTGGTACTTCAGTATCTGGTACTTCAGTATCTGGTGCTTCAGTATCTGGTACTTCAGTATCTGGTACTTCAGTATCTGGTACTTCAGTACCTGGTACTTCAGTACCTGGTACTTCAGTACCTGGTACTTCAGTACTTGGTACTTCAGTACTTGGTACTTCAGTACCTGGTACTTCAGTACCTGGTACTTCAGTATCTGGTACTTCAGTACCTGGTACTTCAGTATCTGGTACTTCAGTACCTGGTACTTCAGTATCTGGTACTTCAGTACCTGGTACTTCAGTATCTGGTACTTCAGTACCTGGTACTTCAGTACCTGGTACTTCAGTATCTGGTACTTCAGTACCTGGTACTTCAGTATCTGGTACATCAGTACCTGGTACTTCAGTACCTGGTACTTCAGTATCTGGTACTTCAGTACCTGGTACTTCAGTATCTGGTACTTCAGTACCTGGTACTTCAGTATCTGGTACTTCAGTACCTGGTACTTCAGTATCTGGTACTTCAGTACCTGGTACTTCAGTGCCTGGTACTTCAGTACCTGGTACTTCAGTATCTGGTACTTCAGTACCTGGTACTTCAGTACTTGGTACTTCAGTACCTGGTACTTCAGTACCTGGTACTTCAGTATCTGGTACTTCAATATCTGGTACTTCAGTACCTGGTACTTCAGTACCTGGTACTTCAGTATCTGGTACTTCAGTACCTGGTACTTCAGTACTTGGTACTTCAGTACCTGGTACTTCAGTACCTGGTACTTCAGTATCTGGTACTTCAGTACCTGGTACTTCAGTACCTGGTACTTCAGTACCTGGTACTTCAGTATCTGGTACTTCAGTACCTGGTACTTCAGTATCTGGTACTTCAGTACCTGGTACTTCAGTATCTGGTACTTCAGTACCTGGTACTTCAGTATCTGGTACTTCAGTACCTGGTACTTCAGTACTTGGTACTTCAATATCTGGTACTTCAGTACTTGGTACTTCAGTATCTGGTACTTCAGTACCTGGTACTTCAGTATCTGGTACTTCAATATCTGGTACTTCAGTACCTGGTACTTCAGTACCTGGTACTTCAGTATCTGGTACTTCAGTACTTGGTACTTCAGTACCTGGTACTTCAGTACCTGGTACTTCAGTATCTGGTACTTCAGTATCTGGTACTTTATTGAAGATTTCTTTACGTGCTCACCCTACCTTGAGATTTCGGGGCTTAGCAACCCCACGGCCCGGTCTCCTGGTTGCTGGACTGGTCAACCAGGCTGTTGGACGCGGCTGCTCGCAGCCTGATGTATGAGTCACAGCCTGGTTGATCAATCTGCTTGTTATTTTCAGCAGTTTCAGTCGTTTAACGTCCTAATCACCTGAAGATGGTCTATAAACTTGCTTGTAAGGTTGAGCTTCGGCTCCTAAGCTCCGGCTCATCAGAGATGCACTGGTTTCGTACTTTCTTGTGTCTTATAAAATCTGACTTTGAAAATGCATGAAACTGTTTTCGGGTACATATATTTTTGTTACATTTATCCAGTATTCCTACATATGTGCTTCCTCATCAACCCGTTCTCGCAAATTGAATAAGTCAATATTGACTTATTAAATATGTGCATAGGTGACATACTTAACATAATAGATACCCTTAAAAAGATTCATATATATGTGACTCACTGATGACTAATGTTTGCTGGTAATCTCTTGTTCATTCTCACCATTTCAGTGTTTCCCCTGAGGATTTTGTATGTCTTGGTCATGTTGCTTTTTCTTATTTTGTAAAATAAGATGTCAACTTATTAAATGTCAAGGAGTTTCTCTTAATAGCTCAGCCCTTCAGGTCCGAGACTAGACTTCTGATGGTTTTCTTATTTATCTATGTGCTTTTATATATGATTTAATGCGTGGGTTGCATACATTAATTCTGGTCTCACGTAGGTGACATTCAGTGTTTAAATGCTCCGATATTTCCACCACTGGTCAATTATGGCTATGATTCTCTTGTGTGAATACTTATCTAATTGTGTTTGCGGGGGTTGAGCTCTGGCTCTTTGGTCCCCGCCTCTCAACTGTCAATCAACAGGTGTACAGGTTCCTGAGCCTATTGGGCTCTATCATATCTACACTTGAAACTGTGTATGGAGTCAGCCTCCACCACATCACTGCCTAATGCATTCCATTTGTCTATTACTCTTAACACTGACCAAGATCTTTATAATGTCTCTGTGGCTCATTTGGGCACTCAGTTTCCACCTGTGTCCCCTTGTGCGTGTTCCTCTTGTGTTAAATATACTGTTTCTATCTACACACACACACACACACTCTCTCACGTGTGTGTGTGTGTGTGTGTACTCACCTAGTTGAACTCACCTAGTTGTGTTTGCGGGGGTTGAGCTCTGGCTCTTTGGGAGAGAATAAGGCCTCTCAACCGTCAATCAGCTATATGTGTGTGTGTGTGTCTGTGTCTGTGTGTGTGTGTGTGCGTGCATGCATGCGTGCGCTGGCATATTTACATGCATACGTAAATAAACACATGCATACGTATGCACGAACGCTTCTGACATGTGTGTGTATGTGGGTGTGTGCACGCCTAGGCCCGAGCCGCACACACACACACACACACACACACACACACACACACACATGTGCGTGCGGCCACCACACCCACACAGTCGCATGTTCCTGCTGTTATCCTGGCGAACGCTGCCAGATGGCTATCTCTGACAGGTCTGAGTAATAAGACCAGGGTCTCGATAGCGCGATTGTATTACGATACAGTCCGTCAACTGTCCATCAAACGATAGCTCGCTTGATCAACGGAGAGGTAAGGGACAGAGTGAGAAGACTAAGGCAAGGAGGTAGACCAAGAAAAAGGGAGGGATAGGGAGGACAGAATGAAGGGAAATTGATAGAGAGAAAGAGAAGGCAGAGGAATAATTGAGGATAAGGAATAGGTGTGATGGGTAAGAGAGGCAAATAGAGGGAATAAAAAGGAAAGAAAAAGGGAGAGACGTGATGGAAAATCAGTAAGAAAAAAGGGGGTTAGGGGAGGAAGAATGAAGAACTAGCAAAGGGGAGGATAAGGAAAGCGAATAAGGGGAGAAGGGGAAGGAAGGTGAAATTACGGAGGGTAGAATAGGAAAATCTAAATTAATGTGGGGGAGATAGAAGAAAAATAAATTAAAACTGAGGAGAATGGAAAAAAAATATTAAGAGGAAAGATAAGTAATGCAAATTATGGAAATAAGAAGTGAGAAGGAAGGGAGGAGAGAGAGAGAGAGATAGAGAGAGAGAGAGAGAGAGAGAGAGAGAGAGAGAGAGAGAGAGAGAGAGAGAGAGAGAGAGAGAGAGAGAGAGAGAGAGAGAGAGAGGAGAGAGAGAGAGAGAGAGAGAGAGAGAGAGAGAGAGAGAGAGAGAGAGAATGATAAAGAGATGTAATACTCGCATTTGCTGTTAGGATTCACATTATTACTTTTATCAACATTCTTCCATTCCCTGTTTATCACACATACATATGTCCAACATTTTGCTTACTTCACTCAATTACTTGTTCATTAAATCAAGTCTGAATGTCGTGTTTAAATCAACAGCATCTATAAAAATAAACTAATACTAAGACACTTTTCTTAAACCCTAAATATCACCCCCCCAAGATGGGTGAAAACATATCATCATACACTATACAAAGTTTATCTTATAAACATAGTTTATGCCAGCAACATTGTACATAATATCAGATTAAAAACACAAAAAAATTAGGGTGTATGGCGAGATGTGGCAAGAGCGCAGGGCGGGAAAGTGGTGCACTCTAGCGGCGACTGGTGGAACTAAACCATTGTTTACAGTCCTTCCTTAGGAAGCAAGACGCTAGCTACCACAGCTCAAGCGCCCACCACATTATAGCGGATATAACGCATGAACGGCCATAGTGACTTGCACACTGCAGTATGATAATGTCAGCTGTCGTAAGGAGTGGCAGGAATTCTTGGTCATTTCCTAATTAAAATAAGCGGGTGGTGGGTATATCACGTCCAGTTATACCCTAGGATATAGCCGTCTCACGCCTCTATAGATCTATCCTGCCTAACACACGACTAAATTTCAACTTTCCAACCAGTTCTAACACCTAACAAGTTTCCCTACAACCAATATAACACGTTGTAACGACGTTCTAATGCTTCATTAAAACGTTTTGTTAAGATGTAACAACTTAATTACAAGTTGTAACAAGCTGAAGGCTGTTACGGTTATTTGTGGGGGATCGAGGTCTCTTGCCCTCTCAATCCTTGCAGTTGATATGTGTACTTGTATATGTATTTTTGTCTTTAAGTCAATTGTTACATATTTCATTCCAGGATTTAATACATATCCTCAAAGTCGGATATCGGTCGCTTAAATATATAGTTTTCCGTTTTTTTACCATGATACGTTCATATATATATATATATATATATATATATATATATATATATATATATATATATATGTGTGTGTGTGTGTGTGTGTGTGTGTGTGTGTGTGTGTGTGTGTGTGTGTGTGTGTGTGTGTGTGTGTGTGTGTGTGTTTATGTGTGTGTGTAAATCACGAGAAAATAAACACGTGATTAAAAATGTGACAGTGTCAGACCACGGAGGAAAATTGAAACAGGAATTTCCTTAAGTACTTTCGTATATTAATACATTTTCAGAAGGAGTCAATCTGATATATATATATCATTCGAAGCTTCGAACACGGGACCATAAAAGCTAAATACTGTAGTTCTACCAACCAGGCTACTGAGTTACCCACAATAAGGCTCAAAGCAACACATAATTGGTGACCAATTTGGACCCTAAGCCTTCTCTGGGATGCCGCTAGATAAGGACATGGGGTTCCAGTTTTGTGTCTCTCTTGGACCCTTCCCTATAACGGTCAACTAATAGCCTTCTTGGTAGAACTACGATCTTCCGCTTTTCCGGGCCTGCGTTCGATTCTGCAATGATCCAAGTGAATAAAATGTTATTTACAACGATATTTAGCCTAAATTGTGAGATGTAAATTTAAATAAAAAATTTAATTCTTCAACCTTCCTGAATATATACAGAAGATATTCGTGTTAGAATTATTGATCTAAAACCGGTCAATACTGGGAGTTGGGACATTTAGGCTCGTGTCATGTACTGATTCTTGGATTTTGCGGTCAATATATAGACCTTTGGATTTTGCGGTCAATATATACACCCTTGGATTCTGCGGTCAATATATATACACCTTTGGACTCTGCGGTCAATGTATAGACCATTGGATTCTGCGGTCAATATATACACCATTGGATTTTGCGGTCAATATATGCTTCCTGTATTAGTTGAAAGAGAAGCTTCTTAGCCACACGAAAGACCCAGAAGCAATCAGTTTCATGTTCTCCAGAGCTGAGTGGCGTTTTAAACAGTAATGCAATATATATATATATATATATATATATATATATATATATATATATATATATATATATATATATATATATATATATATATATATATATATATATATATATATATATATATATATATATATATATATATATATGTATCTTTTAAGCTATAACACAATTTAATTACTTTATCCTAAAATGAATATTCAGGGAGAAACCGAAAGGTTTCTTTTAATGTCCTTACTCGCAGACAAAAGTTGAATTTCTTTAACTCGATGTTTGTAGATGACGCGAAATTAATGAGAAGAGTTGAGATAGACGGCGATTGAAGAATTCTCCAAGATGAGACGAGCTGGAGAGTTAGTGAGTGGCTTCTTGATTTCAATACCAGGAAGTGTAAAGTGATGGGAAAATGGAATAAGTTGGCAAGGATCAAAAGTACGGTTATCTTGAGATTATCTTGAGATGATTTCGGGGCTTAGCGTCCCCGCGGCCCGGTCATCGACCAGGCCTCCTGGTTGCTGGACTGATCAACCAGGCTGTTGGACGCGGCTCCTCGCAGCCTGACGTATGAGCCTGGTTGATCAGACCCTGATAGAACCTACACAATTCTAGGTACACAAACATCGCGACTACAAAAAGCTGAAAATGGTCTTAGAATACTTCAGCAATACAAGTAAGAACTAAGTAGTTTGGAAGAAAAGACTTTTTATGGCCACAAAAGTCTTAAACCATTAAGAGGAAGTGTAGTGCCAAGTGTCAATC